TAGTTTTTTTAATATATATATATAGGGAAATATAGCTAAGATTCTTCTTCCATAGTTCTATTTTCACAAAATAAGAAGTAAATGCATCACAAAATGACCCTGAGAATCCTAAACAGAAGTAGAAAGCAGTCTAAATATAAACCCAGCCGGGTATTTTCAGTCTTAAACTGTCATTCTTTTGTTAGCCTAATGTTAGTTGAAACATGTATAGGATTTGGAGTCAGGCAGTTCTGGATTCAAATTCGATTTTATCTACTGATTATCTGTGTGATCTTTGCCTAACCTCTCTGAAGCTTTAGGTATCTACATTATAAAATCAGAATTAGAATACTTACCACACAAAATGGTTGTAATGATGAAAGAAAATTAACAAGGTGATGTAAACAAATTTTTAGCACAATGCTTGCAGCTCAAAGTGTGTAATATTAATATTAATTATTACGGTTGATATTTTTGGGTTACTATTAGTTTACTAGACTAGGAATATGCTGAATTTAATCCAAAAACTAAATTTAGGTGCCAGATCAGCTACCAGTAACGATCTCTGCTTCCTCATCTATAACTAGCGATACTATGAGGACAATAATGTCTGCTTTGCCTAAATCACAAGATTATGAGAAGCTCCCAAGGTAATGTATGTGCAAACTGTTAAACAAATTAAAAGTTTTTTACCCCGTAGAGCACATATCCAAATGAAAGACACTCAAGTATAAGGTCATTTGCTTCCATTTCATGTACTATGGATAAAATACTACCCTATTAACACAAAGGAAAAGGAATACATACTTACATACATACATATGTTTTTCAGTAGAGATGATCTATTGTGAATCTGACTCTTTAAAGTTGTATTTAACATGTACTCTGACTGCCATGAAGGTGAATTTTGTAAACATCTAGTGGTATATAATCCACTCATATTTAAACTTGACCCCTACTAAGGAAATGTGAATATAAGTAGACTACTTCCACTACTAAATAATGCAAGCTAAACAGTTATTAACAACTCTCCAAAGATTAACATGAGAATAAATGTACTTTTTAAAAATAAACACAAAACTGGCATGTAGTTAAGGAAAAGACAAAATTTAGTGAATTGCTGGACAGCATCTAATTGATTCTGGAAGAATGTCAAGAGTTAATTTTATATTTTGCACTTGAATTGCAGTAAGTCTGGAGAGTGTAAGGTGACAAGTGTTGCTTGCATAAGAATTACAGAAGTCCTGTCCAGAGCTCAGTGACTGACGGATGGATTGAAGTCTAGTGGAAATTTTAACACTAATTTACACTAATGTAGCTCCTATGCTTATGCCTGGACGTGAGCAAAGTAAAAATTATTTCTTTTTATTAGCGTGTAGATGAGACAGAATTTAAACATTATTCTCTACCTGTATCTGATATCTTCTGATTTTAACAGTAAAAATTTGGGGTAGAAGAAAGGGAGCCTCAGGAAATTACTATAGCAAACCGTGAGGAGGGTTAAAATATACTTTATTTGCTCACAATTAGATTACATATTATTCCTTGTTGATGTCCTTGTTCTCTATTTACCTCATGCTAAAATTCTAGACCACGAACAGAAGGCCATAGAGATGGGCTTAAGTCAAAGTGGCCACTACTGCCATTATTATTTATCCAAACACTTTTATGGTGATTGGTTAAAATTGAAAGTGGACAGAGATTGGAGTGCAAGGATGACTTTGGTCTTGAGATGTTCAAGCAAAAGAAGGCTTAAGAATTCAAGATGTGTGCTGTGCGACTCCTGCTCCCTCCACCCAGCTACTTGCACAGTTCCGTGCATACATGAAATAGGATCTGGCAGAATAGGATCATGTGTGATATTTCTGCACAATCATCAACTAACAGTCTCTACTTTTCTATCTCTGGTATTATGTTTATCTGACATATTTCAGTTCAAAGCCCCTTCAAAATAATAAAACCCATAATAATATATTAAAAAGAGCAAATTCCTAACAGTAGTCGAGGACAGGGGAAGCCATATCTGTGCTGAAAAGAAAGGTTTAGCTGACCTCTGAGAGAATACAACAATGTAATCATTTTTTAAAGGAGTTCAAAGATCTGCTTAGTCTCTCTAACTTTTGACATTGGGGATGGATGTCTAAAACATTTACAAGAGAGACTGAATGAGTTTTAATCTGGAAAAAAGATAGCAGAATAGAACAGAAAGAATAAGGGCAAATAGATGTACTGAAATAATAAACATTGTTCCTTGGAAACAGTTTAAAAAGAAGAAAAAAAAATGCTCCGTCAACTAGGAAATGGAAAGGACATTCAAGCTCCCAACTACTTAGAGCTGTAAACAGTGTGGGTGTGAGGAGCAGTAAAGAACAATGAGACCCTGTGAAGTTTCAACAAGAGGGGTGGGTGTATAACAAATAATAAAAATGCAAGATACAGCTACAGAAACAGAGGCATGCGTATCCATAGAAAATAGACCAGGCAACGGAGGGGAGCTAATCTGCAGTCATGTGCATGGCGATCAAAATCAAAATAAGCTATATAACAAAATTGGAATGTCACTCAAAAGCTCTATAACAACATTTTCATGAAAAAGAACAAAATCCACAGTCTAGAATGTAATATTCATGTGAAAAAATATATCCCAATGAACAGCTCTCCCCTTGGGTGTAAAGGAGCACTCTTGTTGGGACTGAAAGTGAAAATGGACAGAAAGTTGTTCCAGTGTAAACTCTGCTCCCACAGAGAGGCATGCACATCTTCTTTTTACACCTGTCGAATGCAAAGAGCAAGGCTCTGAGACTTTAGGAGAAGCAGCAGCCTCTCAAGCAGCAGCTCCATCAGAGCTGGCACAGGGAGGGCCTCGTGTCCTTCAAGGGCTTTAATGTGAGCACCTTCCATCTGCAAAGGGGTCTGAAAAACAGCTACTTCTTGCTTCTCCATCTCTTGGCTCCATCTCTGTCTAGTCTCCAATTTATTTAGTGTTAGATTTTTCTGTTTTTATAATTCATAGCATGGAGAATGGAGCTCTTTTATAGAAAAGATGTTATTTGTTTTACCATTTGGGTTAAAAATATCAAATAAGGTTGCATTTGCAGCTCTCTAGAAAATGAGTATAATAAAAACTGAAATCTGATATGTAAAATGTAAGTTTACATTTAGGAACAAAAAGATGATATGTTATCAATAAATCAAAATGGAAACTATTCAGAGTAAGAAGAAATTGCATGTGAGGTATGTATGGATTAAAGATGACAAAGACAGTTAAAGGTAAGAGAAGAAATCCAGATATGACTGAGTGAATACAAATACTTATCTATGTGCTAAAAGAGATACACCATCTATGAAATGATCCCTCAAAATAAAGAAGTTATCAAGGTAAAAGGGAATCTCATGGAATTTTGTAGATGAGATATGCTTTTGATTGCTTACAGGTAATATATGTATTTAGAAAGCGATAAATTCAAATGTCTGAGGATGAATAAAAATATTTTTAAATGAAGATAGAGGCTTCGATGAATTCTATCAGCCAGTGAACATAATATCCAGAAATAAAAATAATTATTTCAAAGAAATATAAAGAATTATTGCTATTAACAAATTTGTTCTTTTACTATTCGACATGGTTTACTTTCTAGTTCACATTTTCAAAAAGTTCCTTACCTGGACTGACTGTTCAACTTTTCATGTTTTCCATTGAAGTTTAAACTACAGAAGTTTTTCAATTTTGAATGTGAAGAGTCTAACTCCAAATTTGCCTGTGTCTGTTCTCTCAGACGATCCTGGAGTGTCGCCTCCTTTTTCAAGTTCATGTCCGAATACGGGCAGCCAAAAGCACTGATTTGTAATAAAATGAAAGCAGTTGTCAGTTTATAGTGATAAATCAGTGATCCACTGTCACTGGAAGAGGTCTACATCCAAAATTTAAAAACTGAATGAGATATTATTTTCCCAAACACATTCAAATAAGTTTCTTTTCAGATTGGCCTTTGAGAAAAATCTCAGGTTCTACATAGCAGAGTATTATAGGTAACAAGTCATCAGAACACATGGTTTTTACAATTTTGGAAACTTAAAAATCTAAAAATAACATAAAGATGTGCTTCCAATGAAGCAATTAAATGCTACATAAACGCTTGACTCAAAGTCCCTTCCAATATTTATGCCCTGATTTGACTATATCACAAAATATTATGGGTAACTAAAATATTTACTAGTATCAGAGAATATTATGCTTTTATTTCTTAATAATCATAAAGTCAGAAGTACTGTATCTGGATTCCACTTAATCCTCCTGAAACTGCTAGGAAGTTTTGGGTTTGAATGTGAAGGGACACTTGTAGGTGAAAAAGAACAGGCTACAGTCAAAGCTGAATCCTGGATCCTTGGTGTGGCTGGAGTCTATCAACAGCCTTGAGCAGGAGGATCAGCCAGGACAAAGGATCTGGTTCTTCCTACCAGCTGGCAGATTGTCCCTAGTAGAGTTCTGTGTCCATGTCCTTATCTTTTGCTAGAGATAGAAGTGCCCCATTTATGCATTTTTTGTAGTTTGTAATAATTGGTATTGACTTATAAGTTTATTCATTAATTCAGTTATTGATTCAACTGAGCATATGCTATATGCTAGGCACTATAGAGTAAATATATAAATTTAGTGAAGTTAAGACATATATATCAATAACGTATCAATAAATTTATAATAAGAACAAAAAAGCTAACCCCATTGAGTGTATACTATAGGTCCATTACAATTCAAGATGCTTACATATATTATTTCTAATATTTATTACTAAATACCCAAAGATGATGTTAATGTGTTTATTTTATGGGTGAGAAAATAGGCTCACACAGGAGCCTTTCCCAAACTTTTCCAAAGTTTCTGGGCACTTCCTTGAGAAGCCCCCAAATAGATCACTTAATTATTAGTACCAATCAGGTGTGCAGAAATGGGACAAGGTTTTTTTTTAACATCATCATTGAAAAAGAAAGAAAGAAAGAAAGAAAGAAAGAAAGAAACAAACAAACAAACAAACAAACAAACAAACATGAAGGAAACTGTGGCATAATTCTTGTACAAAGGGTAGCCAAGGCAGGTACGTACAGGGTAAGGCTGTACTGGTTTGCCAGGGTTCATGGCTAGGGGGCCATACGTAAGCATATGCTAGTGCTGTGTGAGGAGTGAAGATGTATTAAAGTACTATTTCTAATAACAACAGAGCAGATGAAATTTGTTTAAGCTGCAGCATACAAGATTTAATGGAGATTTTAGAAATAATTTTCTTCAGATAAAAGTTGAAGATATTAGGCTAACCTAAGGGAAATTGAGAAATATTTATTTCAAGCACAGTTAAGCTTTCATTAAGATACTATTACTCAGAAGCTTTGCTCCTCATGTAATATACAATACCAATTCGAAATTTTTAAATGATCATTACCATGCATTTTCTTAATTTCATATCATCACCCCCACATGACTCATACTGCATGGCACAGGCTGACCCATATAAAATTGCAGTTTTAAAAAGTCAGAGACAGTCAGATATTAGGAATTTCGTAAGGTTCAACTGAATAATTTATAGAAAATGTCAGCCTCAAGCTCATCAACAGCAACAAAGCAGATGAATAGAAGGTAAATGCTAAATAAGCAAAAAGCTGCTAGACAGATGCAGACACATTTTTAAGAGATTTTTTGACAGCTCTAAAACAGAGATCCTTGTAGTCTTTTTACTTCATGAATAGAAGGAAACAAAAATTACTGCAATTACAAATATGAGTTTTATTTTTCAGAATATTTAAGTATAATTTTAACATCTGAGGAGTAATGGAAAAGTAAAAGTAAACTATCGGTATATATTTTTTTACTTAAAAATCTGCACTTTATTAATGTATTGGCTAGGTGGAAAGCCAGAGAAGAAAAAGAGCAATTAGGAAAAAGGATCCTAATTCCAATCCTAATCCAAGAGGAATTAGGATCATTTTATAAACTATGTAAATGTCCACTAATGTACTGTATACTTGAAATTAATAAAATAAAATTTTAAAACATCTGCCCTATACAACTTTGATGAGTAGCGTTCTGACTTTTGCTCCACCTTCAAGTTGTAATGGGGATGGGACTGGAGGCAGCAGTATGAACAGTTGATGCTGCATCACCTCTTTTTGTGTCAGGCCCAGGAGGGTCCTTGGCTTCTAAATTCTCCATCTTTCCTTCTACAGCAGGGACACCTGATTCCACAGGTTGGTGAAGTTTCTCCATATTCCCAGGACCAATCCTGACCTGAAGCTGGAGGTTAAATGTTGCTAAACCTACTCGTTCATTCTATCCAAAGGTCCAAATCTGAAGCAATACCTAGTTTTGATGGCTGCAGTCAGGCCTTGTGTTTGAGACCTAGGCAGCCTTGTGGCTCCTGATACTCTAGCTTGGCATCTACCCTGGTTCCTTGCTATTAAATGCCTTGTCTGCTTCCATGACTAGAATTCAGAAGCCCTCTATTTCTACTTTTTTCTTGCTGGCTTCTTCCCATGACAAGACCTCTGCCTCCTAATCACAACCTAGGAAGTAAGGTCTACTTCCCAGATACCATCTGGCCAGTCTCCCATGTGCTTCTCACTCTGAAAAATTATTACTGTGCTTTGCCCATTAATTGGGATTCCTTTCTTCTTTTTGGATTCTTCTCATCTGGCCCCAATTCCATGGATCTAGATGATGACTACTGATTGCCAAACCTCTTGGACCTCAGGTTCTCTCATCCAACTATAGTAACATCTTGTATCAATAACTTGTTCATTTTCTCATATCCACCCAAGCAGTAAATTTGGTTTCTGCTTCTCTCTGGCCATACTATTCTGCTGGAAATAACAGGCCATGCTCTGTCAAATCCTGGGAGAGGGACAGTTTGGACCATGAGGTTGTAACTAAGTTGTCACAACTTACCTAATAGTAGCTCCCCAATCAGTTTCTAGCTACACCATCAGGGTGGCCAGAAGGGTCCTGGGGCACCAGAGTCCCAGGCCAGTCATAATTTTGAGCAGCCCCCTCAGGCTCTAAATCCCCTCTCATTCCCAAGTCCTGACTGTCATTTTCTCTCTGTGACATAATATTAAAAAGTTAGAGAGCATTAAAATTTAAGCAAAAATGACGAAAATGTAACCCCTTGAGTGCTATACTTACACACACACACACACACACACACACAGACTCATGCAATTATGGAGATTAAGTCCTAAGATCTGCAGTAGGAAAGCTGGAGACCCAGGAGAGCGAGAGAGAGAGAGAGAGAGAGAGAGAGAGAGAGAGAGATCAGCAGTATTTCAAGAAGAGTGTCAGTTTGTTGACAACCTTTCTCCTCATCCTGAAAAGTGAAGTCGCCTGAAATAGACAAGTCGCTCCCAGGAGGAGTCCTGATCTAGGAATATGCCCTCATATAGCCTAGGAATTAGGGATATACTTAGACTCTAAAGAGTTCTTCTCTGATGCACTAATCCACCCCTCTATGAGGCTGATTGTATATTTTTCTCTCAATTATTTTACTAGCCAATTATATTCTTTTTCTTCCAAGACCTAGAGAAGATGACACAGAAAACTCATCTTAACTAGGAGGTTAGATTCTAAAAATATCTTCATCTATCTTCAAAGGACAAAGAATTACTTGTTAGAGTAGGTAGGTGCAGGCATCTTATTTGGAAGTGTTCATGGAAGAGATAGTCTGAGAGGTTTGCCTCTCAGAAATAAAGGGCAGCAAGGAAGCCCTAAATGTCTGCCTCTCACAGAGGGTGCTGAGACTTGACAGAAAAGAGGTCCAGCAAGAAAATGAAAAGGAATGAGATAAGTAAATGCTGCCTGTTTTGCAATTTAGCCTTGGGCCCTGATGGTGACAAGAGCCCCATCCTGCTGTTGGGCTGCATCGCACTGATCCCCTAAGGAAAGCAGCAGCCCCCACACAACACCCCATGTTTTTTCCCAGTAGATTGAATACTTTTTGTTTTCACTGTCATTTAACTCTAAAAAATAACTTACTCCTTTTCAGTCTTTAATATGTGGGTAGTTTAAACTTACACAGTATAATAATGTTAAATAAACACATTTTATTCTTAGAAAATATTGAATTCTTAGCCAAATGGCACTGAAAGGCATGATAAATACTGAAATGCAGATTATTGCAAAATTAGAGTACCTATAATACTTTCCACAGAAATTTTTAAAAGCTAACATATGATTTAAATTGTTGCTGATTTTACTTCTAAAAGGATTAAGAGAAAGTACAAATGATACATGATGGAATATACACCAGGAGGGAAGAACCATCATAGTGTTTTAATATCTACGGAGGATGTAACACAAAGTCTATTATAGTATTCTCAAATACAGAGAGGGCAAAATCCAATATAAGATCCTAAGGTCTCAGGGAAAATTTTCTTCAGATTCCTGAGGTTTCAAAATGAGCTTACCCAAGGCATATTATGGGTAAAGTTTTTCTAATTCTGAGTAACTTTGTCCATAAAATAGCTACTACCTTAACTTACTCATCATTAAAAGTATTAGAAAATTTAATGCATACAGCAGAAAGCACTTTATTGACATATAAAAACCTGTACACATTTAATATATACAATTCGATGAGTTTGTGAATAAGTACATACCCGTAAAACCATCACCACCATCAAGGCCATAAATATATGCATTATGTTGTTGGAAATGGTAGATTTTCCTTCTTTTTTAAAAGCCGAGTAAATAATAATCTATTGCATGCATACACCATATTTTTAAAATCTATTCATCCACTGTTTCCGGATCTTGGCTATTGTAAATAATGCTGTAATGAGCATGGTCGTGTAGT